ACCCTATGATGTGAGAAAGAATGGTCCAAAGACACCCAGGTGGCTTTCATGCTTAAGGTGGAATTAGAACTCATTTTCTAGCCTGGCACCTTAATGATTAGGGATCTTAATTCATTTACTATTTCTGCTATTCACCACTTTTCTATTTTTTTTATTAAATCCCCCATTGATTTCTTTATTTAAAATACTTTTGTTACTCGTATGAGCTCCATCTAAAATTCTGCTCGGCTTATAACTTAATATAAAAATAGTATATCAAAATAAAAAAATAAAAACAAGATGAAAATAGAAGCAGAAGTACCTGGTGCCACAACCAAACTCCTTCAACGCAACCAACAACACTGTCTTCAAACTCTGACTTCACTCTATTCCAGCACTTGGGAGAAATACCAAATTATGTTTGGCATTTGTCTCATGTCCTACTCTGAAATATAATCGCAATAGTGTAAAAATTCCAGATAATGGTGATGAAAATAAAATTTAAAAAGAAAAAAAAAAAGATTCATATACCATAAATGTAAAACTAGCTCAGTTTTTAAGTTATTACTAAATCTAAGCATATAGAAACATACTAGTCCACTCTCTCGCACCATCATTGTTGTATTTCTGTTAGATTTTATCAAAACAGGTTTAGCAAACTAGAAGTCCCTTTTATATGACTTGATGGATACAAATATACTGCTCATTTTGTAGGACTGTGTGTATTACTTTACAATAGGAAGTGTAACTGCCAAATTGCAATTCCATACTAGAAATGAATATTATTGGAATTTTGCCTATATTTTAATTAATTAATTAATCATTACCACATAATTTGAGCCTGGTTTTGGATGTGACAGATATAAACTACAAAACACTTAGGACAATGTTTTAAGTAATATCCTTTTAACAAGTCAAATAAATGTTTTCAAGGTCTATTGATTCATTGTACATTTGGAGAGAGTAAAGAGTATATTGATTAGGTTATTTACTTCAGTTCTAGACAGCTGACAAAAATATTTCATTAAAGGCAATCTCAAATGAGCCTTGACTGTATCTGAAGCTGTAATTTGGACAGTTCAGTACCATATATAATAAATAAAGGATTAACTGCTAGGCAGTATTTCCAATAGGTAGAGCCATGATACCTCTTAAATATATTTTACTATTGCATTATTATTCAACATACTTGCAAAATGATGTTCCAAGAATTTATAAGTGAATGTCCAACCTAATTTAATTTTTGGAGTCCTTTGTGGTCTCTGAGCTTAGTTGTTTGCTTTCAGACATTTCATTATCTGACTAGGTAACATCATCCATTAATGAGTGTGGGGTTTATACACAGTAGCATGCCCTGCCAGTGTTGGTGGGGATATGGTATTTAATTTTAATTTTCTGATAGGTCTGAGTCATATTCCCAGTGTTTTAAAAATGATGCCAGGATTTCAAGCACTGCATATTAAAAAGATATTAAAATTGGTGGTGGTGGTGGTGGTGGTGGTGGTGGTGGTGGTGGTGGTGGTGGGTGTCAACTTAGTGAAAGGTGAAGTTTCACAATTACCCAGATTTGTAGACTGGATTTCATATTTTTATCACCTATCAAGTGCTTCCCCAGGAGATAGTCAGATGTGATTGTTTGATGGTGTAAAAGAGTCATCACAGTAAGCTTTTCCAAGTAAAGCTGTCTTTTGCAATTGACTGATGATAATTTTGTCAATGTTGATGCTGTTCAAGTGCTGCGCCAGATGTTTTGGGATTTGGGATAATAATATTACATGTGGGTAATCTACAGTTGAATTCACAATCTAAGAGTAGAAGAAACTTAATAATTAAAAGTGCCAGTAAGGACCTAAAATTATTAAAGTAGAGTTGAACAATATAGGCAGTTCCAAGCAGAGCTTTTTGTAAAATTAGGGTGTTCAGGTCTGATAAATTCAATATTTCCAGACACTGAGGAAGTCATTTAGATATCGCTCTGAGGGCTCCAACAATGACTATTATATTATTACTATTACTATTAATCTCAGAAGAGAGAAAACAGAAACCTTAAACAAAAAATATGAAGGAATTTTAGGTTGTTTATGATTAAAGTTCTACAACTAAACAATTAAATGATTCAATTAATGTTTTTAATTTGTCATTTCACAGCTGGATGTATTGGACAGATTGGGAAGAAGATGAAATAGATGATAGTATGGGAAGAATTGAGAAAGCATGGATGGATGGTAACAACCGTCAAATATTTGTGACATTAAAGATGTTGTGGCCAAATGGATTAACTCTGGATTATCAAAGTAATATATTGTATTGGTGTGATGCCTATTATGATCATATTGAAAGAATATATCTGAATGGAAGTGACCGCAAGGTAAAAGAAAATATAATACTTCCCCCCCTCCTAGATTCCCCATTTAGTGAATTACCTTGCCACTTTCTTTATTAATCCAGTCTAAGGACAGTTGTGTTATTTTGTGGGGGAAGGAAGGAAGGAAGAGAGGGAGGAAGGGAGGGAAGGAGGAGAGAAGGAAGGAAACTATTTATTTATTTCAGAAGATGCAAAGTTTTTTGTAATCCTTATTCTACTGTACATAAAATCAAGACACGGAAATTCATGTTAAGTCTAATATGACCCCTTACTAATTATTTTAATGTATCTGCCCATAATAGTACATGATACCATATATCAGCATTTTTAGACATTCCGTAAAAAAATGTCACACATGAATATACACACACTCATTCAGTAGAATGTAAGTTGGTGGTCCTGAAAAAGATAGGCAAAAGCCATTACTAAAGCAATGATGGGGAAAAAAACTTAGGCCCATAAGGATGAGACAATGTGTGGAAGAAATTTAAATAAATACCTTCCTAATTCACTTATTGAGCCGAGGTGGCGCAGTGGTTAAATGCAGCACTGCAGGCTACTTCAGCTGAACTGCAGTTCTGCAGTTCGGCTGTTCAAATCTCACCGGCTCAGGGTTGACTCAGCCTTCCATCCTTCCGAGGTGGGTAAAATGAGGACCCGGATTGTTGTTGGGGGCAATATGCTGACTCTGTAAACCGCTTAGAGAGGGCTGAAAGCCCTATGAAGCGGTATATAAGTCTAACTGCTATTGCTATTGCTATTGCTATAACTATTTGCCAGTTCTCCGAACTACTCAAAGTTTCTGCTACCAGTTCTCCAGAACCTGTCAGAACCTGCTGCA